TGATGGAAGTTGGAATGTCAACAATGTTAAGAGGCAGCTTCACTTATGCTAAAAATGACCCCTGGAATGGGAGAATTATAAAGACCCGATGGGGAAGCCATACTGTGAGCTTCTCTAAATGCAGTGATTCCTGTGGCTGGGCATGTCCCTTGCTGGGACCTTAGATACTGTGCCTATAAAGTCATTTCAGGAGATGATGCTCCTATGGGATATAAAGAAAGCTTTTAAACCAGGGTGGCTTCCTTGCCCCTGTGCCTGTACTATGACAACATGGATTGCAGTAAAAACTCCCAGTGAAGAGGAGAGGTACCTGATACTGCCTTGCTGTGTTTCCTGTCCTAAAGCCTTCTGAATAGACTGACTCCAAGTGTGGCCTCCATCTTTGAGCGTAAATACACAGTTGAATCCAAGGAAACCTTCCTGATGGGCACCTCAGGGATGCATCACTGCCAACACTATAATGCCAAAGCAGCAAGGGGCAGGGGAAATACTCCCAGCTTTCTCTTCTTTTACCCTACAGTATCTTAATCCTCCTCCCCTCACATTGACTAAACCCAGTCACAAGACAAGAGGTAGAGCAGAAAGAGTCTGATCTTTCCAACTTGCATCAGGTGCTTACCACAGTTTGTTTATCATTCTCTTGTTGATGGGCATTTGGGATATGCATAAAGCTGCTATGAATATTCATGTACAAAATGAATAATATATTTTCCTTTCTCTTGGATAGATTCAGAGGAGTGGAGTTGCTGGGTCACAGAATAGACAAATGTTTAATTTTTAAAGAAATAGCCAGTTTTCCAAAGTGGTTGTACCATTTTATACTTCCCAACAACATATGAGAATTCCACACTTCTCCAGCACTTGGTGTTAAATTTTTTCATCTGGGCCATTCTAGTGCCTGCACAGTGATATCCTACTGTGATTTTAATTTGCATTTCCCTGATGCCTTATAATGTTGAAGACTTTTTCATGTATGTACTTATTTGTCATTCACATATCTTCTTGTATGGAGTATCTGTTCAAGTTGCTTTAGAACTGGATTGTCTTTTATTCTTGTTTATTAAATTGCATGAATTCCTTACATATACAAAATTCAAGTCCTTTTTCAGACTTGTGTGTTATATTTTCCTCTCAGTCTGTGGCTTGTCTATTAATGGTAGCTTTGCAAATTTTAAAAACATTGATGAAGTTTGATTTAAAAATTTTTTATGTCTTCTCTTTGCCTACCCAAAGATTTAAAAAAAATCATAGCTGTAGGTTATTAAATTAATGTCCTTTAAAAAATAATTTTTCATTTAAAAATGAAATCCAGTTTGGATGTTTTTCATATCACTATGTTCTATACACTGAATGTGTTCCCCAAAATACATATGTGGGAATATCAACGCCAGTGTGATAGTATTGGGAGGTGAGGCCTTTGGGAGGTGAGTAGGTCATGAAGGTGGAGCTCTCATGAATGGATTTGTTGTGCTTTATAAAGAAGGCCCACAGAGTTCCCTTGCCTCTGCTGTCATTGAGGTCACAGGAAGTAGGCCTTCAGCAGACACCAGTGCTATGCAGCTTCAGGACACGGTTTGTTCTGGGATGATACGGTTTGTGCTGGGATTCACAGCGGGAACGGTCATGGTGTCTGGCTGGGCAGTGACAGGGTGGTAAGTACAATGGTGTGGAATGCTGGGTAGGTCAGGGAATACTTTATAGCAGATATATGTTTGTGCTGGGCTCCAAAAGAATAGGAGTTGCCATGAGGTGTGGAGGGAGGAGGTATGGAGTGGTGGAGAACTAGCAGTAATGAATATTGCCGAGGCTTTGGGTCTGAGACGCAAGCAATGGGAAGATGAGACTGAAGAGATAGGCAGGACCAGGCCACGAAGTGGTGAGGACTTTGCACGTTGCTCTGTGGCTTCTTTGCAAAAGGCGGAATGAATGAGCTACTACTTGAGCCCAGGTGAGAGGCTTAAGAAGTAGCTCAAGTCGATACTTCTCAAATTCTCAAGTGGTTGTGCTTCAAGTTGTCAATCCCCTGCCCTTAACTAGTGAATTAGAATCTCTGGGATGGAGGATGGCCTCTGAGTATTTTCACAGGGTCTGTGGGTGAGTCTGCAGCACAGCGGAGTTTGAAAACTACTGGTTCAAGTGGATAAGGAGTAGACAGTGCAAAAGAGAGAAGGGCCTTGATTAAAGAGGTGTTAGAAAGTAAATGGTGACTATTCTTGATGACCAAATGTATGTAAGGAATGAAAATGTGAGAGGATTCTGACTTGGGTAACTTCAAAATTGACATCTATGCCAGTCACCTACATGGCAACACAGAAAGATATCTCTGGGTAAAAAGATAGGAAGTTTAGTTATAAATATAGGACCAACTTACTGTCAAGAAATAACCTTTATATTAGCTAGAAATAATATTAACTTTGGAAGAATATGGTTCTATCAGTTTAAATATTAATGATAATAACATACTTTCATTATATAATGCTTATTCTTTGAAAGGACATATTCAGCTCATATTTGTTACGCACTAAGATTTGTTGCATTCCTACTATGGACTTTTAGGCTAGATCTTCTTTTTCTCCTCCTCCTCCTCCTTCATTATTATTACCATTATTATTATTAATTATTTTGCAAATGGTGAAACTGAGGCTCAGAGAGGTTGCTTGGTTTCCCTAAGGCCATCTTAGGAACCAGGGAGAGTTAGGATTCAAAACTTGGCTTTGCCAAGTCTAGGTCCCTTTTCACTATTACACAGCTGCCTCTCATAACGTGGATGGGCAGGGGTTTTTCTTATTATTTATATACTAGAGGCCTGGTGCACAAAAATTTGTGCACTCGGGGGGTGGAGTGGTCCCTCAGCCCGGCCTGTGCCCTCTCACAGTCTGGGACCCCTCAGGGGATGACCACCTGCTGGCTTAGGCCTGCTCCCCGGGGGATTAGGCCTAAGATGGCAATCAGACATCCCTCTGGCAGCACAGCAGCCCTCAGGGGATGTCCACTTGCCAGCGGGGAGCAGGCCTAAACTGCAGTTGGACATCCTTAGCGCTGCTGAGGAGGCAGGAGAGGCTCCCACCACCACCGCTGTACTGGCAGCCATCAGCCTGGCTTGTGGCTGAGCAGAGCTCCCCCATGTGAGAGCGCCCTGACCACCAGAGGGCAGCTCCTGCATTGAGCATCTGCCCCCTGGTGGTCAGTGTGTGTCATAGTGATCAGTCATTCCCAGTCCTTCTGCTGTTAGGGTCAGTTTGCATATTACCCTTTTACTATATAGGATAGAGGCCTGGTGCACGGGTGGGGGCCGGCTGGTTTGCCCTGAAGGGTGTCCTGGATCAGGGTGGGGGTCCCACTTGGGTGCCTGGCCAGCCTGGGTGAGGGGCTGATGGCTGTTTGCAGCTGGTCACACCTCCTCTTCAGGGTGGGGGTCCCCACTGAGGTGCCTGGCCAGTCTGGGTGAGGGGCTGAGGGCCGTTTTCAGGCTGGCGGGTGACTGAAGCTCCCAACCTCTCCTTTTTTTCTTTTTTTTTTTTAATTCTGGGATTTATTTACCTTCTATGGCTGTCACTGGAACTGAGAGCCGGCTTTAGCTCTGAGGCTCGGCTCCAGCTCTGAGACCTCGGCTGCTGAAAGCAGGTATCTGGGTTTGTTTGGCTTCTATAATTGAAACACTGTTGCAGCTCCAGCTCTGAGGCCTGGCTGGCTGAAAGCAGGTTTCTGGGGTTTGTTTAGCTTCTATAATTGCAACATTGTTTCTTAGAGTGCAGCTCAGAGGCCGGCAGCAGCAGGCGGGGAACCTTGGCTTCCTCCATCACTGGAGCAAGGAAGCCTCCTGTTTGCTTCAGCTGCCTGGCTGCTGGCCGCCATCTTGGTTGGCAGTTAATTTGCATATCGCCCTGATTAGCCAATGGGAAGCGTGTCGGAGTTACGGTTAATTACCATGTTTGTCTATTATTAGATAGGATGATGGACTTGAATCTACAGAAACTGTGATTTGCCCAAATTTCAAGCTGATAAGTACAGAAGGGACCAGAGCCCAGGTCACTTCTTCCTGACCACTGCTTTTTTCACTCTAACTTCCTGTTTCCCATGATTTGACTTTATTTCCCTCCTTGCTTTATGTACAGTCGAGCCTTTCCTTTCTCAAATAGGAAGAGTTTAGAGAATTATAAATATCACTAAAGGCCTGGTGCATGAAATTCGTTTACGGAGGAAGGGGTCCCTCAGCCCGGCCTGCACTCTCTCCAATCTGGGACCCCTCGGGGGATGTCCGACTGCCTCTCGCAATCTGGGACCGCTGGCTCCTAACTGCTCACCTGCCCGCCTGCCCGCCTGCCTGATTGTCCCTAACCCCTCTGCCTGCCTGCCTGATCGCCCCTAACCACCTCTGCCTGCCTGATCGCCCCTAACCAGCTCTGCCTGCCTGCTTGATTGTTCCTAACTGCTCCCCTACTGGCCTGATTGCCCCTAATTGCTCCCTTGCTGGCCTGATCACCCCTAACCGCCTCTGCCTTGCCCCGCACCCGGGACCCAGGATTCCCTCCCTCTGGCTGGCCGCAGGCACCCAGGACCCAGGCTGGCTTTGCCAGGGCTGGCTGCAGCCACAGGCACCCGGGACCGCGGGGCGGGCAGCTTGTCCCTCTCCTGGGCCACAGGTATAGCCGCTAGTGTCCAGAACCACGGGGACCGTGGGGTGTGCGGCTTGTCCCTCTCCCAGCTGCAGCCCCAGCCGCTGGTGCCCGGGACCACGGGGCGGGCGGCTTGTCCCTCTTCCAGGCCACAGCCTGGCTGGTCCCCATTCCTCTCTCCCCAGTGTTGAATGTCTGAGCCATTAAGGCATGACGGCGGGAAGGTGTGATGGCCATTTGCATATTAGGTCTTTATTATATAGGATTTTAAGGGAAGAGATATTATTTGAGAAGCAAAGCCAACCTTCAAGGCTCAGTTGCTTTAGGTTGGTGTGTGAAGGTACATTTTCAGCCTGTGCATGAATTCTTTCTTTTTTAAATTAGGAACCTGACCATAGTGATGATGATAGAGATACGGAAATAACTCCAGGGGAAAAGGTACTTCGAAACACCAAAGAGCAACGGGATATGCAAAATCGGCTGAGAGAGATAGATGAAAAGTTGAGAAAGATGAAGGAAAATGTGGTAAGTTTTTTTGTTATTTAAAGTTTAATTGTAACCAATGATTATTTTTAAGAAGATTTTGGTTTCCTTTGACTGTTTAATGGGGGTATTTATGTGTTAAACCTGTCAAGAGAACTGACATGGGAATTTGTCCGTAAAAATTTGAATGAAAGCTAATAATGATTTATAGAACTTAAAGGAGTATTATACTTAATTTATGTAACATAATAAATCTGTGAAATACTGAAGTCAGAATAATGATCCATATGCCTAATATTCTGTTTTACAGTGACATAAATATCTGTTTTGTATATGTGTGTGGAAAAATTTGGTATTGCTCTGCATAAAATTATATCTACATATTGAACTTATCACTTAAGTATTCCCACCTTTTTGTTAATAATTCATAACATATTATTACTCATTTTTTTCTTTGAAAAATGTTTGTATTGATTTTAGAGAGGAAGGGGGAGGGAGAGAGAAACATTGATGAGAGAAGAACATTGATTGGCTGCCTCCTGCACACCCTATACTGGGGATTCAGTCCAATTGAACCCTCAACTCTCTGTGCATGGGATGACATTGCTCAACCAACTGAGCCACACTGGCCAGGGCATTACTCATTATTTTTTAATATATTCTAAATTCTTCTTGAGCTTATTTCATTTTTTAAATATGTAAAACATGCCATTTAAAGATATATAATTGCTGATGAGAGAAAGCTCTTAAATCAATTAAATTGTGAGCTCTTATTTAAAAATGCTCTATGATATTATGATTTTTTCAGCTACCCATAGGATGTTTCCAGTTGGATACTTGGCTTTTACCTCTAAAATTAAACATGACAAGGCTGAACTACCTACATCCTCTCTTCTAGAGCTGGTCTTGTCATAATTGCCAGCATTACCTACTTTCTGTCTCCTACTAAATCCTATTATCTTGGGTGATCTCCAAGCCCCACTAAGTTTTAACCAGTCTGTGTAATTTATCTTAAAATAGTTCCTTATGGCTCTTTGAACATTTTTTCTGTCCTGACTTGTGTTACCCTTCTCTCAGCATTGCCACCTCCTGTGTAGCCACTAATAACCCCGTCACTCTCTTCTCTCATCCTCCGTTTTATATGCTGCTCCGTGGGAGTGCCACCAGGTCAGTGATTTTGGTTAAATTCTGATCTCCTCAGAGCTCTCCAAGAGTGTGCACCGATCCTGACTGAGATTCCTCGCCCCTCACGGTCACATCCTTCTGAACTGCTCTTAGCATTTGCCAGCCATGAACAGCAGCCCCCACCTGGAGCCTCAGGATATCCAGGTCTGCTAATGACAGCCAGGCAGCAGATCTGAAGGGAATAGATGCGTTGTGCTTTGCTTTATAATTCATTTTTATTTACTTTTATGGGAAATTTAGTGGGGATTATATTTCAGGGAGACCTCTGTTTTTATTTTCTGAGGAATTTTTTTCTCCTTTAGTCTGTAGATATGGGGAAGAAGTAGGAGAAGTAGGAATGGTTAAGAAGTGTAAAGGGTTTTGGCAAATAGTTGTGGTGGTGATGGAGCATTTCAACTTGATGTGGCAAATAAAATGTTTGTGGTTTGACCTGCTTTGAAAACTGTTGGTTCTTCTCCTCCCACACCTGCCAATCTAAGATAGGCAAAGACTGCGTTTTCTATAATTCAGTTTTTCTGCTTTCTGATCATTTATCTCATGCCTTGAACATGTATCTGCTCTTTTTTTTTTATCATATCCTATCATTATTTAATTTTGACTCAAAACCTGGGTCCTTTAGGAATCTTGTATTTTATTCCAGTGGCTTCTGAAGGTTGGCTAGACTTGAGACATGATAAGTATCAAGAGGTCGTTGTTGACTAAGTGGAGAAGAATAACATACGAATAGAGGAGAGCAATTATTGTGTACCTACTATGTGCCAGGCACTGTTCCAAGTATTTTACAATGTATTAACTTAACTAATCTTCACAACCACTGTAAGAGGTAAACACTATTACCTTCAATTTATAGGTGAGGAAATGGAGGCACAGAGAAGTTGATTAACTTCCTTAAGGTTATATAGCTAGTAAGTGTAAGAAAGGATTCAAATGATTAGCTTTTAACAACTGTGCTATACTACCTTTCTGATTTACTTTTCATGATTAATATTGTCTTTTTGATAATTAAAGTGTGATAAGTTTTTTTTATAACCAGTAATATTCATGGGAAAAATACTTGGAATCCCTCATATAAGTGATAATTTCAGTTTTTTATTTTATAGTCAACACTTTCAGAAACTGGTATCTAGTTGATAAAGGCACATGAGAGTTTATTTATATTGCCTTTATGTTTTAATTGTTTAGTGTTTCACAATATCATATTGTGTACTGTGTGTGTACTTTTGAGGGAAGAGACTGTGTCTATTTCAAACTCTGCAAAGCCCATTGTTCCTCACAAGCTTCTAGATACTTGGTGGGTCTTCAGATACTGGAGACCTGAGTCCTTGTTTCAGTGTCGTCAGTGCCCTGCTCTGTTACCTTAAATCCCACACTCAGTCTCTTAGAGACTTGGCTTGTGACTGTGAAATTAGGGTTGGGCTAGTTCACCTTGTCCTTTTGCCTATGATTCTTGGAATACTTATTTTTGGTGAGAAATGGTGTTATTTATATAATCTAAAACTCAATTTGTGTATTTCCTAAATATTTAGTAGTAGTTGGCTTAAATATTCTATTGAAAGTTATTTTTGGAAGTTTAATAGCACTTTTTATGAGAATGTGAGATATATATTCCTGCTATCTATAGACCGGAGAATATGCTTTCTGAATGATAGTTTCTGTAAATGGCTAATTTTATATTTTGTCTTAGTCTCTCTATTACAATAGAACATTGTTTTAAATCACTAATTTGGGTAAAGAAGTAATTCTGTGGCCATTGAATTGGTGATTTAAGGATCAAATCCATATTAAGTCTTAGGGTTGGAAGAGGGAAAGGGTGAGCTAAGGGTCAATGTAGGAGCGTTGGGGTTGGGGGGTGGTTACTCTTGGAGCCACATGGATCCCAGTCTTGATTTGTCAGTAAAGGCTATAACAGTAACTTAATTCAGTGTTTCAGATGGCGGGCTGAGGCTGTGGATGCACATTTGCCTTGGTTAAGATTGGTTAAGTGGGATTTGATTTAGTCTGAAGATGGTGGTGGTGGCATTGTTGGTATCAGTGGATCTAGCTAGCTAGTAGGAGCTGGGGGAAGTAGGCACGATGAAGTGAGGTGGGGGCTCACAAATGTAGTATGAAATTCAGTGGGCATCCAGGGGCCCTGAACACCAGCCTACGTAAGTAGGGGAAGGATGAGCCATGTAGCTAGAAGCAGCAAATTGAAACAAATCTTTAGGATTCACTCAATATGAGTCAGCAATGTAATGTAGCTACTATGCTACACATTCAGGGAGAGGTAAGCACAGTGGATCATATTTGGATAGTTGAATGACAAGGATGAGGATGAGATTTAACACAAGGTCATATGAAGGATTGTTGATGGGAATGAGTGTATTTAGCCTGGCAAAGAAGTGTGTGTGTGTGTGTGTGTGTGTGTGTGTGTGTGTGTGTGTGTGTCTGTGTTTGTCTGTGTCTGTGTTTTGTGGGGAAACAGGGATAGGATGGTTTGGTAGAAAATTCACACATGGTCACTTCCCAAAGAGATGTAAAGGATTATCATTTGAAATATTACTTTTGTTTTTTATAGTGTAGGGCAGTGGTTCTCAACCTTCCTAATGCCGCGGCCCTTTAATACAGTTCTTCATGTTGTGGTGATCCCCAATTTCAACATAATTAAAGCATAGTGATTAATCACAAAAACAATATGTAATTATATATGTGTTTTCCGATGGTCTTAGGCGACCCCTTGTGAAAGGGTCGTTCGACCCCCAAAGGGGTCGCGACCCACAGGTTGAGAACCACTGGTGTAGGGGAAAATATGGTGATTGGGAGGTCATAAAGAGACAGATTTCAGACAAATATTAAGAAAGAAAGAATGATCTCAGTGGGAATGGTCTGTCTCGATCAAGGTTTTCAAATTAGACTGGAGTGACACTTTTATAGGTAGCTGTAGAGAGGGTTTAAGTATCAAAAGGGTGATGGTTTAGGTCAGTTTCTTCAGCATAAGGAGGCTATTTGTATGTGGCAAGTATGTAGAGGTGCTGTGCTTTGAGCTCTTTTTTCCCATGTGGGGGCAGGATTTGTGCTGAGCCACTCACCTCTTGCCTCATTGGTTTCCAGGGGGTTAGCAGTATTGGCGTTGACCATGGATAAGAGTTCCTCTGTCAGGCTAACTGCTTGTATGGAGATGATTTGAGAAGGTAGAATCAAGAGAAAATGGAAACAGCCATACTCATAGAATAGGCAACACAAGGCAAACCCCACAGATAACCTCTCAATCACTTGCCATACAGTAGGCTCTGGTAACTCTAACCCCTGAGTTTCCTGTTGAGCTCAGAGAATTGCTTTCTGTTGTTTTGGGTGCTCCAAAGGCTTCTCTGCCCATTCAACCTTCAAACCCTACTCTGCTTTATATTACCTCCCTGGGTTATAGTCCTGCATATAAGTTATGTAGATGGGATATAGCAGATGCTGGAGCCAGACTACTTGGGTTTGAATCTCAACTCTGTACTTATGAGCTGTGTGACATTGGTCAGCTCTCCTTATCTCTCTGTGCTTCAGTTCCTTTATCTGTAGAATGAAGATAATTATAATTAACACTTACTTCATAGGCTATTTTTTAAAAAATATATTTTTATTGATTTCAGAGAGGGAGAGAAATCTAGAAATATCAATGATGAGAGAGAATCATTGATCGGCTGCCTCCTGCACGCTCCCCACTGGGGATCAAGCCTGCAACCTGGGCATGTGCCCTTGACCTGAATCGAACCTGGGACCCTTCAGTCCGCAAGCCGATGCTCTATCCACTGAGCCAAACCAGCTAGGGTCATAGGCTGTTTTGAAGATTAAATTAGCTAACATATGTAAAGTGGTTTGAACAGGGTCTG